CACTTGCATGGGGCAGAACGCAACTTTCCCATTACACTCTACGGAAAGAAGTGGAATACGAGAATAGCTGGATGAACACTGAATATATGCAAAAGATGACTCCATAAGTGCATTGATGGAGAAATATCACAATTTCACTTGCATGGGGCAGAACGCAACTTTCCCATTACACTCTACGGAAAGAAGTGGAATGCGAGAATAGCTGGATGAACGCTGTATTTGAGGAAAAGATGACTCAATGAGTGCATTGACAGAGAAATATCACAATTTTAATAGCATGTGGCAGAAGGCAACTTTCCCATTACACTCTATGGCAACTCGGAAAATATGGAGAAATGCTGCAAAACATCAGATTTGTGCAAAAGAGGAATCAATGAGTGCAATAACGGAGAAATATCACAATTTCACTTGCAAGGGGCAGAACGCAACTTTCCCATTACACTCTACGTAAAGAAGTGGAATGCGAGAATACCTGGATGAACACCCCATTTCTGCAAAAGATGACTCAATGAGTGCAATGACGGAGAAATATCACAATTTCATTTGCATTGGGCCGAATGCCACTTTCCCATTACACTCTACGGAAAGTAGTGGAATGCGAGAATAGCTGGATGAACACCTTATTTCTGCAAAAGATGACTCAATGAGTGCAATGACGGAGAAATATCACAATTTCACTTGCATGGGGCAGAACGCAACATTCCCATTACACTCTATGGCAACTCGGAAAATATGGAGAAATGCTGCAAAACATCAGATTTGTGCAAAAGAGGAATCAATGAGTGCAATGACGGAGAAATATCACAATTTCACTTGCATGTGGCAGAAGGCAACTTTCCCATTACACTCTACGGAAAGATGTGGAATGCGAGAATAGCTGGATGAACACTGAATTTATGCAAAAGATGACTCAATGAGTGCATCGCATGGGAAATATCACAATTTCATTTGCATGGGGCCGAATGCCACTTTCCCATTACACTCTACGGATAGAAGTGGAATACGGGAATAGCTGGATGAACACCCAATTTCTGCAAAAGATTACTCAATGAGTGCAATGACGGAGAAATATCACAATTTCACTTGCAAGGGGCAGAACGCAACTTTCCCATTACACTCTACGGAAAGAAGTGGAATGCGAGAATAGCTGGATGAACGCTGAATTTATGCAAAAGATGACTCAATGAGTGCATCGCATGGGAAATATCACAATTTCACTTGCATGGGGCAGAACGCAACATTCCCATTACACTCTATGGCAACTCGGAGAATATTGAGAAATGCAGCAAAACATTATATTTGTGCAGAAGAGGAATCAATGAATGCATTGACGGAGAAATATCACAATTTTACTAGCATGTAGCAGAACGCAACTTTCCCATTACACTCTACGGAAAGAAGTGGAATGCGAGAATAGCTGGATGAACACTGCAATTGAGCAAAAGATGACTCAATGAGTGCATCGCATGGGAAATATTCCAATTTCACAAGCATGTGGCAGAATGCCACTATCCCTTCACACTCTACGGAACGAAGTGGAATGCGCGAATAGCTGGATGAACACCCAATTTCTGGAAAAGATGACTCAATGAGAGCATTGATGGAGAAATATCACAATTTCACTTGCATGTGACAGAACGCAACTTTCCCATTACACTCTACGGAAAGAAGTGGAATGCGCGAATAGCTGGATGAACACCCAATTTCTGCAAAAGATGACTCAATGAGTGCATTGATGGAGAAATATTACAATTTCCTTTGCATGGGGCCGAATGCCACTTTCCCATGACACTCTATGGCAACTCGGAAAATATGGAGAAATGCTGCAAAACATCTTTCCCATGACACTACAGAAAGAAGTGGAATGCGACAAAAGCTGGATGAACGTTGCATTTGAGCAAAAGATGACTCAAGGAGTGCATTGACAGAGAAATATCATAATTTTACTAGCATGTGGCAGAATGCCTCTTTCCCATTACACTCTACGGAAACTCGAGAAAAGCTAGAAGAACAAATAAATTTCTGCAAAAGATGACTCAATGAGTGCATTGACAGAGAAATATCATAATTTTACTAGCATGTGGCAGAAGGCAACTTTCCCATTAAACTCTATGGCAACTCGGAGAATCGGGATAAATGCTAGAAAACATGTGAATTCTGCACAATGACGCTCATTTTGTGCATCGATTGGGAAATATCACGATTTCAGTACCATGTGCCAGGACGCAACGTTCCTATTACACTATGGAAACTCGTAGAGTTGGAGAAACGTTGTAGAAATGAATAAATTTAAGCAAAATACGACTCAATGTGCGAACTGAAGGAGAAATATCACGATTTCAATACGATGCGGAAGAAACCAACGTTCCTATTACACTCCACGGAAACTTGGAGAATAGGGAGAAATGCTAGAAAATACGTGAATTCTGTACAATACCGCTCAATGTGTGCATAGAATGGAAAACATCACGATTGCAGTACCATGTGGCAGACCGCAACTTTCCCATTACACTCTATGGAAACTCGGAGAGTTAGAGAAACGTAGTAGAAATGAATAAAAGATATCCAACCTTGACCTCCCTTTGATCACGGGTCTATTTAAGTAAATGAGATGAAGCCAATGTTTCTTCTGCCAGACGGTGTTGCGAAATTTAGATTCAAATTTTGAGAGAAATCCAGGGGGAGGCTCAAGGCATGCCAACATGTGCCACAACTTCGTAGCAACCAGTTGATTTAAAATTAACGTTCGGCCTCGGTAAGACTTGAATCTAAACTTTCTAGAACGGGATGACTTGAGTTTCGTTTCTGCTTCTTCCCAATTCTTCAGTTCATAGGGTTGCACCTTGGAGTCGCGGCCTAAGAGCTTTAGGCCATCGGCACACCAGGAAAACGAGCCGGGAGAGTCTTCTCTAGTCCGCCACGGTGCGGTTCACCAAAGACCACGGGATTTTCAAATATTTAGGCAAGCATTGGAAGCTGCAGCATTCACTTTATGACATGATGGCAAAATTCGAAAAACAGGGTCCGAGGAGATAAAAACGGGAACATCATGGTTTGGTATGCAATACGTTTGGTCACTATTGATGATTGAATGATCTCCATGATCATTCGTTTAAATCTGATACATAAAACTTTGGCGAAAATCTTATAATCAATATTGAGAAGCGTGATGGGTCGCCAATTCCGTATGTCGAGACGATCTCCTCCTTTCGGAATGAGTGTGAGAATTTCTCTTCGCATCGATCGTGGCAGCTCCGCCAGACCAGATGAAAAATTGAAAAACATCAAAGAGGGAATTTCGTAAATGAGGCCAGAAAAATTGGAAAAATTCCGCAGTAAAACCGTCTAGACCAGGGCTCTTCCGTTTCCAAAGTGATTTTGAATCACTTTCGATCACTTTTGATGTAACTCATCAATGATGAATGGGCTCGCCATGCCCCGGCGATCGGAATCGCCGAGACTGGGAAGCCCGTCGTGGAGATCGGCAGAATAAACAACTGGAGTTGGCGTATACAAAGATCTGTAAAAGGAAGAAGCATATGTCAGAATGGAAGAAGGATCCTTAAGAATTTCCCCATTGGAGTGGTTACGGATTTGATTGAGCATCTGGCGAGCTCTTTGGATGCCTCAAGGGAGTAAAAATAATCGGTCGGAGCATCAGCAAGATCTCCGAGGATGGGAGAAAAACTGGATAAAGCACCATATTGCTATAAAATTCGACTCAATGTGTGCATAGACGGGGAAATATCACGAATTCACTACCACGTTAATACACTTTAAAGTGAAGATAGATATAGAACGCGAAACGTGTCCCTGCTTGACATCAAAAATAATTTGAAATTCAATTGAATCATAACAGAGAAAATAACAATTTCGGCAAATAAAAACTACAATAAATCATTTATATTCCGATTATTTTTTCATTTTATTTTATTATTATTTTATCAGCGAGATCTCCGAGAATGGGAGAAAAGCTGGATAAAGCACCATATTGCTATAAAATTCGACTCAATGTGTGCATCGACGAGGAAATATCACGAATTCACTACCACGTTAATACACTTGTGAAGCTAGAAAAGTGAAGCTGGAAATAGAACGCGAAACGTGTCCCTGCGTGACATCAAGAATAATTTGAAAATAAATTGAATAATAACAAAGAAAATAACTATTTCGGCAAAAAAAACTACAATAAATCATTTATATTCCGTTTGAAAAAAGAGGGTTAAATATTTTAGGTATTTTTCTTGAAAAAGGACCATTTTTGCAACCTGCCTCAAACGTTCTGGCGGTACTATACGTTGAGAAGAGACTGGACGCGTCTCCCAAAGTGTGGCGGGTCCCGTGTCTCTGGCCGGTACAGCGCGGCCCTGGAGGTGATATATAGAAACTTTTTGGAAAATTTTGGAAACTTGGCTATCATAAATCCCATTGGCTCTACATCATCTGTGCCGAATACGAAGTTTCTAGGTCGCTCCGTAATGGGTCCTAAGAAATAGGGAAGTAACTTTATGGACACCCTGTATATATTCATATTGGTACATCAATTTCTAGGCATTAGCATGCCTAGAAACATTGGGAGTTTCTAGGTATGCTAATGGGCGAGGGTGTCTACGTCTGAAAGGACCCTTGATACATTTCGACGATTTCACCCCTAGGCCCCATTACATTTTCAACAGCAGCACCAGGCTCTCACCATGTTTCTTCGCTGAAAAAGTTTCATCGCCGTTCGAGAGGTAACGTCACAAGAATGGCGTTAGGATGTGACGGTAGCATGAGACGTCACTCCAGGCTTTTACTCTAATATTGCCATATTCCACGTTGGGACGTGCGAGTTTCATTGTTGGATCTACCTCATCTTATCCGTAATCCAAGGACGAGTTTGAGAAATGTGACTTCCCGATTCACAAGACTTGACAGTTTCAACGTGCAAACCCCAGAAATGAATGCATCGATCACTCACGAAATTCCGAGGAGCAGTTGGGTTTCGACGCTGGCTGTATTCATTCATGCCCGCTCGCGAGGCTTCCACTCGAGGTGGGCCAGACCGCTCCCACCGGCAATCCCAGTGGATGCTGTGGTTCTTCTGCGCCGTGCTGCTCCAGGTCGGCCGCGGCGCGGTCCGACTGGAATGAGGGGAGAGGTGCGGGACTTATCGGCGTTTCGAGGCGTGAGAGGAAGACTAAAAACGGGAAATGCCTGCGTGGATTCATAAACGCGGGTAACATTTTTGTACTTAACAAATGTATTACACTTAACAAGTCTTGGAAACTAATATAAAACTAGAAAATAAAACCTTCTTCTTTTATATATTCTTCTCATAAAACTTCTTCAAAAAAAAGTATTCATTTTTAAAAATGAAATTCCAATTAACCTTATTCTAAATAAAATAAAAAACATTCAACAACTGTATGTATGCACTTCTTGACTTGAATATATCATGGCTTCAGAAATGCTTCATTCTTCGAATGAGAAAATTCAGGAAATATTTTCCCCCTGACTTGCTGTCACAACATTATTTGCAAATGCTGCATCCAATTTAGTGTTCCAGCTTCACTTCCACCAGAGGTAATAAAAGTGGAGCATACAGTGGAATAGTGGAATTAAAGACAACAAACAGCATTAAGATTGGGCAAGCAAAGAGGTTTTGCACTATCACTAAGAATTATTAATACAAGCAGGTGATCTCTTTAATAAGGTGACAAATAGTTACAATAGTGACAAGTTGAAGTTACCACAAAACTTGTTTAAGAACTCGAAAAGAAAATTTTGGTGAAATTAAAAATTTTCTCCACTGTTGATGTGTAAAGCTGGTAATTTTTCTGCAAGGAACCCACCCTACGATAGTAGTTTTTTCTTCAGATTTCCAAGTAAAAAATTCCAGCCTGGAAATCTCAGTGGTTCCAGCAAATGATTCCAGCTGGTTCCAGCCTTGTCTAGGGTGAGTTGTGAAGTAAGAAACACTGAAAACTTTAATTATAACACTAAGTCAGACTGTCCTTCTTGCACTTGGAAGACAATTGAGTGATATTTTTTTTCAATGTCTTGCTGGTTCCACATAAGTGCAGTTGGTATCTGCTATTAGGCCACCTCAAAATCCTGAAAGATTGTTCAAGTTCTGTCTTCCATTTCTCACCATGAAAATAACATGTCAAGCTTACTAGTCACGCCGGTGGTAATATATTATTTGTATTAGATTCTAGCTATAACCAAGAAAAAATTAATAACTCTCACGAATATTACCTGAATGTTACATAGACTGTGTGAGCCAAGGCCGTAATTAGGGGGGGGGGTTCGTGGGGTTCATGGGATTCAACCCCCCCCCCCTCAAAACATCATCCTCAAATTTTTCCCATACTGCTATTCGTTAGTGTAAACGGTGCAGTACTTGGTCTTTTCTATCTTTAATAGCTTATCACTTATTAAACACTGCAACTTACAAGAAAATCCAGATGTCAGAAAGACTTACAATGACAAGTATAAAAAAAAATAGTCACAGCGTGTACGCCTCAACCAACCTCCCCCCCCGAAATGAAATCCTAGATACGGCGCTTCTATTCATAGAATCAAAATTTAGCACGACACAAGAATATATACTTGGGATACTGCTGCTGAATAATGCACGATTTTGCAAGAGTGCATGAGGGATACCTGCTTGAGGGGTTATGAGAAAAAGATGAAACAAATATTTTCCCCCTTTTCTTTTTCCCCAGGGAACAAAGGGTTCAAGTTCTACATCTAAAGCCTTTGCTCTCTACTCGTTAAACAATGTTATGCTGAATGAGTGACCTGATTTAACATGATGACATATTCTTCGTGACTCTGTCTGGCTCATGCAGCATCTCAATCTTTCTTCAATCAGGAGATTCCCACCTGTTTGCAGTCTTACGTGTGTTGATTCAAGTGTTCATTAAGCCAATGTCAGTGGAATGGCACAAAAGAAAAGAGGAACTGCTTTGCTATTGAAATAAATCTCAAGAGGGGGAACAAGGTGTGAGATATCAGCAAAATTCCATGGATTCACTTACATCTCCACCATCAATGGTGGAGATGGTATATTGTTTCAAGAATTCAGTGTGAGCTGTGCTTCAGGAAGATATCTGAGAGCTGTGGAATATGAATATGACATTTTAATGGAGTGGTTTTAATTAAGCATGTCCAACAACATAGCACCTCATGGGAACACAATTCAAAAGGAAATCACAGAATTGACTGAGGCAGTCTGAATCAACAAATTTTGGTGCTCCTTCAGTTGATTTTCTCATTCCAAGGACAGATATGGGATCACATAAGAGAAAAAAATGATGGAAAACTTGCATATACACAATATGGGAATGTAATTTAAAAAAAAAACTTATTTCAATTAGAATTTGAAGTCAATGTCCAGGGCAGATAAAATAAGATTCAATGTGGCACCAGTCACAAGAGCCTCACAAATATACATAATTTCAAGTTAATTTTCATGGTTACTCTGGGATATGCTACCATACTTCGGTTCACACAGTTATCCTCTTTAACATCCCATATCTACAATTGAGAGTGCTGCATGAAGGAGAGTCTCTCTTCCCTAGTATACTGGGCCTTTACACTCAGAAATAAATACCTGACTTGGTCAATTTTGAATGCATGGCATGGGAGCAAAACTAGCTAACAACATTGCCACTCACTAGCCCCTTCTAACACTTCCAATGCCAATGAGACAAGCTTTTCCTTTCTTGCACCTGGCAAAACTATGTAGGTTAGTCTTACAATTAATTCAAAACGCCATGTTAAATTGTGGTAAATGACCAGAAGGTGAAGGGGAAAAAGATATCAGGAATACAGTCAACACTTGCAATAACAAACTCAAAGGAAGGCTAAATACTTTTACTATATGGGAAATTGGTGGCTGGGAATCCTCCTCATTATGCTGAAAAAATATCACTTACATAAAATGTATTTTATTGCCAAAAAAAAGATGCAGTTGCAAATTCTCTTCACATGCCTTTGAATGGGCAAACAACTGGAAACTAAAAAAATTAATGAGAAAGAAAATGAGATATTTAGAGGTTTGTTATGCTGAGTGTCAACTGTAGACTGTACAAGCAAGTCATGCATATCCACCAACACCGGACTACATTTGCAAGGTCAACATGGTTCAGAACAATCAAAATAACCACAATAACAATAACAACAGTGAATAAAATCTATATAGAGGTAGACTTCATTAGTAAGCAGATTATGACTTTTGAAGAGCACACACAGACAGAAGTGCAATGTTGCTGAAGTCATGTTCACACATTTCATTGCCTATGGGACAGATTTTTTGACTGGATCAGCATGATGTATACAATGTGGGTGAGCATCTTACATCCAGAATCAATGCAGAAAGTCCAGCAATTAAAGCATATAGACAGTCCACCACCAAAGTTTACCACCCAGCCATCAGCAGGGAAGGTCAGGCCAACCATGTTATGGGATCAAGATACAGGGTGGGACAAATTAAACTGGACAGTTTTCTACAATACATGATACTTCACTCTCAGCATGTACTTTAATGTGGTTTGTGGCATTTGAAAGAATAACCTATGAAAGGGTGAAATTACATTTCACATATCTTCAACAGTTTTAGAAATTAAAGAATTCACAAGAACAACATGCAAAACCTGTGTTGACTGTGCACTTGGATGCAGACAATATGTGACCTTCAGCCACCACCTGTCCATTTTCATTGCTACAAAAAAAAAGAAGCAGTTTTTGTTTGCAGTTCATATGAGCCTCAGGATTTCTGAATCTATTGAAGTTATTTGAAAGGTAAGTATACCATATTAACACTTAATCATTCCCCTTTCAAATGTCACGAAACGCTTTAAAATACATGTAGTGAGTGCGGTACAGTGTATTGTTGAAAATGGTTATTTTGTTTTGGCCCACCCAGTATTACTCTTCTCATAGACTCTCCATTACATGGAGAGACCAACAAAGCAGGTACCTCATCAGCATCAGGCAAACCAGCCATTATTCTGCAATTCAACAATTACCAAGCACACTTCTCCATGACATCATGTTCCATACAGACAATGCACAACCCACACTAGTCAAACTTTTGATAGTGCCACTACCTTCTTGGGATACTCTATTTATCAAAACTGCCCAGGTCACCATCTGTCACCTTTTCCCTACACAAAAAATGCTTCCTTCGTGGATGGATTATGACACCCATGCTGAGCTAATCATAGCTGTTGAATACAGGCCAAAGAACCAACCAACACAATTCTTTTTCTCAATGCATAAAACAAATGGATACATTGGACCAAAATTTCTGGTACAATTTTGGACATTCCCTTGTAAACGGCAGCAAAAAAAATTGGCATATATTACCAGTGCACTGCACAGGTGATGATTGCTCAGTATGCAGGCATCACTATCTGTCTATCAGCCTACAATCTGTTTCTTTTTATAACATGCTGAGCTAAGAAAGACTTAATTGTCAGCATGGAGGATGTCACTAAATGGTGAAGACTGATTACTACTGAGATGCACCTTGGTTGGCAAAAAATTAATTGGCTTTCATTTACTCTTCAATTGTAGGGAAGAGCACAAGAGTGCAACTGCATCCTAACATTGCTATGTACATATCTGTATCTTTCAGACTGGTTCCTCTCTTGGCACTTGGCCAGGTGTTAACTATCAGAGCCAAATCAAGGGGAGTGCGAACAGTGCACCAGCATAGGGTGCCAACTTGAGGGGGCACTGATTGGCTGCCAAATAATTACAAAATATGATTAAATAAATAACAAATTGCAAATTAACCTGAATTTAACTAAAGTAAACATAGAAATTAATAGGTAATGCATTGTTGGTGCTGGAAAAACTGGAGAGGTATGGAGGAGGGGGAGGGTGCTGCAGTGATGTCATGAAGGGGGAGGGGGAGAGTTCCTAATATCCTTGGTACAACTCTGGGAACTATTATGACCCAATGAATATCTGTAAAGAGTTAGAACACTACAGCAGAAGAATAATCAGCATTGAGGAAAGTTAAACCCACTCATGGCATCATCCTTTGAAAAAGGCATGCTCCATGAGACAACATTCTTCACAAGGGATGGACAATGCATAAGGGAGTTTACAAAAAATAACACACCCCATCTCAGAACTGCAAGGCAGCAGCCTCATTCTTCAGACTCAGAGCATCCTGAATATCAGAGACATCCTGAATATCAGAGGTGACCTGAATATCAGGTCACCTCCAGTGTAGAACTTCTAAGAGTACATCCTTCAGAGCTAACCAGGGCTGGATTAAGAAGTTGTGAGGCCTGGGGCAAGTGGATTTCTGAGGCTATCCCCCCTCCACTACTTTACACAAATATTTAGCATTTTAAATTTCCTTTGCGGGTCCCCCCTGGAAGAGTGGGGCCCAGGGCAATAGCCCCCTTTGCCCCCTCCCTTAATCCAACCCTAGAGCTAATGCTTCCTGGGATTCAATGTGCTAGATAGTTTCCACCTTCAATGAAATCCATGAGGAACTTCAGGAGCTAGATCTGGAAAAGGATGCCACAAGGCTGTGATTATGGTCATGCTGCAACACCCTCTCAAAAGACCCTTAACTACTTAGAGAGAACCAACGTGTGTGCCTCCAACAATTGTGAATACATCTTCTCTTCACTTAAATGATGTTCAAACACTTCCACAAAAAAATAAGATGAAATTGAAGATATTCACATGGAATGAAGAAAAAATCCATCTCCTAGAGATAGACCTCATGAATCTCCTTTGTAAAATCCACAAGTTCTAAGAGTTTTCTCCCAGAGAGGAAATTCTCAGAACTTCTGGATTTCAGATGACGAGACATTTCACAGCTCACTGTAAAAAGTTTTTTCAGTATAAACATCTGAGAACACAGCAGAGAATGCATAAGGACACTTTTAAGCAGTAAATGAAATGTTCTTTGGCAATCTCTGATGTGTTCTCATAGAGTTCTGAAACCCAATATTTTTTTTTACAGAGTATGGCTTAAAGGATAATTTCTCCTTTAAATTCTGTTTCAATCATATCATCTATCTGTTTTTTAAAGTATGGAGAATCTCTTTCTGGTAAAGGGAAATCGTATCCCCAGCAGTAATACTGAGAAAGTGCCTAGTAACAAGACTCATCCAGTATAAGGAGGAACTTGGAAAGGAAAGAACTACATGGAGCAGAAAAGTTTAAATATCCACGGTTCAGAGCATTCCACTACACTTCCATACACTAAGTATTGGCTCTTGTATTTGATCTCATATCATGAGACCAACACATCATAGCAGAAAACACCAGAAGAAGAGAGCAACAAAACTTTTTCATCACCGCAAGGTGTTTTGAGTGTGGTTTACAGTTTCATGAACATAAACATTCCTGCTAAATCTCTACAGGCAACCTACTCATCTAAATGAAAGGCACTTCTGGAGGAGATGTGGCACATGATGACAGATATGAGATAGGCGTACCTCTAATATCCGGCAAGATCAATATTGCATTGAACATATTCAAGGCATCACACCATATGTAATAAACACATTCTTCCAACCTGGTTCCAAAGGTTTTGTGAGCTGGTGGGGTTTTCGGACTGGTCCAACATCTCGCCAATATTCTCCTTCCTGCAGTCACTAAGAAGAAGAAAATGTGACTCTGAATGTTCATTTTGAATTTTTTTTCATACCTTATAGGTAAGACATATTAAATACATCCCACTCACTAAAAGCAGCTCTCATTAATCTTGAATATCTGACCATGCCTGCCAATGGGAGGTGGGACGGCATGTGCACTGATGAGGACCTCTCTGATGCAATTCCAACAATCAACAACAGTTTCATTGCCTGGTGGAAACGATTGTTACAAGTCCTTTCTTCTTTTTTAGTCCGCTGCTCAATAATGAAAGAGAAAAAGGATAATTTCAATACTTGGAAATGAAGTCCATTTCAATTTCAAAATGAAAACCATGTTCACCCTTTCCTCACTGCTCCCTTTTCCATTTTCCAACACTGAAGTAGCATTTCAGGAACACCTGTAGGATTGGAACACCTAGTAGAGAAGAAATTGTAAGCTCTTTCTCATTTGGCCATCTAGGTCAACCAGAACTACAGAGTGTAAGATAAATCACTGTTTTTCCTTTTAAATACCTCAAGAAGTATAGCATATACCAAATTTGCTCCACATCAGAAATGAAATACTCATAGGGAAGTAATTCATTAAACACTTAATTCAAAAATGCATTCAAATAATGGGTTCTCCACTCAACAATATTCAATATGGCACCCCTCTTTGCTAATGCACTTTTAAATCTTGAGCATGAATTCATTGCATGGCCCATGGAGTCTCTAACATAGAATGGCATCAACTTCCCAATGAATGGTTGCCTCAAGTAATTTCAATGTTTTTTATCACTGATGACACATTTTCTCTTTCATATAACCTCATAAAGGAAGTCATGTTTGTCAAGTCCGGACAAGTTGTTCGGTTCATGGCTCTGCACCCACCTATCTACCAGCTTGGAAACACTTTGTTTGCATCAATGTTGGAATTGGAATGTGTTTTTCTACCAAATGTAGCTTCACCATATGAGACCCTAATGGTGCCTGCATCAAAGGATGTGAATTGTCTAAGGTAATTCACTCTGATAGGATACAGAAATAAAATTAAAAATTTGTCACTGACTTTCTATATACTTTGTATGCATCTTTCACCATCATGTCAGTCAGTAGTATGGTGCATGTGAGAGACCAGCTTACTTCCAGATGCATGGGTAAGCAGTGGTACTTAGGATTGTGTTCATCATGCACATGTATCTGAGTCAATTCAAAAATGTCTGATTCATGTAAAAAACACTGAGGCAGTTACAGATATGGCTAGGCCCACATCCCTTTAATTTATGGATTTGAATCAGTGGCATATTTTACAAGGGCAGAAGGGGGGCAGCCACCCCCCTGGCACCCCCTTGGAAGTAATGTAATTTCCCAACCTGATATCACTAGGGTAGGGTATGGTGCCCTCGTGCTATTGCCATGCCCCCCCTGACCCCTTGGTCAAAATACACCACTGATTTGAATGCTGAAGCGATTCAATCCTCATAAGAAAGGAGTCTTCATGTAGTGAAGGTAGGGTACATTTGCTATGGCAAAAGCGAACTGACAGTGGATTAGACCAAGGAATGCCATCAAACCAAATTTCTTAGGATGAAGATTCCAGGGAACACACTAGATGCAGTAAAAGATGAAGGCTCAAAGCCACTAGAAAAACCTTTGGAGGGACAAAATCATAATCGGACAAAGAAAGCATCTTCCTGACTCTAAATTGGGCTATTTGATCAATCTGTTGCTTTTCTCCTATTTTAATTTCCTTTCAGGTTCTCACAATTCATAATTGACATTACTTTTTATCACAACTTTGGAAGGTAGCTTTGGAATGAGATTTAAAACAACACCTAAACAGGCTCATAACATGACCTCAGGTAAAAGCAAACACAACATGAGTGGTAAAAGTGAGAATATAGTAGGGCCCATTTTACTAGTGACACAAGTGCACACATCCATGGCAAAGTTCAGTATGCAGTTGTGGTCTGCACATTGATTCCAAGGAAGTGACAAACTCTGGACCTTTACCTAAACTTCTATCCTCACATTAAACTGCTTTAATGGATAAAATACTTTCTTCATTTGTGTTTGATCATTATTAAAATTAAAATCAGCAGGAAAATGAAACTTACAGTATAGAAATATATTCTACCTTCACCCCACAATTGGTAAATAGCCTAGGAATATGATTTTCAATTAATATTCAAGTTTAAGTCTTCAAAAATTGGACTCTTACTTATCTTTATTGACCAAATTTAAAGCAAATCACAAATGGAAAGGCCACATGACTCATCCATGCCAGTTCGTTTACACCTTTATTTCACTTCCTTCAATGTGCAAAGTTAATTTGTCACCATGATATATCAAAGTAGCCTTTGTGAAAAAAAAAGACGAAAGTTAAAAACACTACAAAGTCGCAGCTTAGCATTGTCAGACGAAACAGGTGGGCCTGGGCTAGAACCTACTCCAAAAGCTGAGGAAGAATGGACATTTCGGTGGAAATCCTGTCAAATGAGCTTCGGGGGAAAGATCACCTCAGCTAATTGGCGAATTCGCTAGATCGAACAGTACCTCGCGAGTACGCAGGGCCGCCCACGTGGAGCGCTTCTGGACTCTTGATGCCGTCACATTGTGACGTCATCGTGACGCACGGTTCATAGTCTGCACTGGCAATTCTCCAAGTCTGGAGAGTTGCAGGAAAAACGTCCTTCATTGGCGAATCGCAAGGGTGTTTTGTTTCATCAGGACAACGCGCTTCCTCATACCGCTCGGATCACGTGTGCCAAAATCGAAGAGCTGGGTTGGGAAAAAATTCAACATCCGCCGTATTCACCAGACATTGCACCCTCTGATTACCACCTATTCAGAAGTCTACAAAACTATCTCAACGGAAAAGAATTTGAAAGTTTGGAGGCTATCAAAAGTGACCTTTCCGCATTTTTTGCTTCAAAGCCAAAGGAATATTATTAACATGGAATTGAAATGTTTGTAGAGAGGTGGCAGAGAGTCATAGAGAACGAAGGGGAATATATACTTGATTGGAACTTGATGCGATGCAGGTGTATTTTAATTTTGAAAAACAGAGAAAAAAACGAAATTATTATGGGATGACCTGATACATTCTAGCTTCGGGAAATAAAAAGCACAAATATTTCATTATCCTAAACAAAGAATGCATATCAACAAGAAATGTCGACTCCCCTTAGCAACTTCTGGCCCCATGGTACCACCTGGTGTCTGGCCGCGGGCCCACTGAACCCCCCTCATCGACATCCACAGCGATCTGCATGCCTCAACCGCCGATCAAGAACTCTTCCATCAGCATCGACTCAATCCTTGCATATGATAACGTTCTATTTCACTCATGATACACTTTTTTTTATCGAGCGTATGTATTGTAAATAAAGGTTATAGAACAAAAAAAAAAAAAACCGACCCCCCAAAACCCAGTCGAATTATATCGTCGCTGGTTGAGGTCGAGATGAGCCGCCCCTGGGAGGATGGCACATACATTTCTGATTGTTGATTTCGTTGAAGGCATTGGGTTCCTGGCTTTCGATCGTTTCCTCGGTAGTGTCTGTTAGTCGCGGAGTGGCAGGGTTTGCGTTGTCGTGTCCTGTGAGAATACTTTTGGGAATCGGGAGGCAGGAAACGTTTCCTTTCAGCATGCGTTCGTGGGCTCCCGTCGCTTCTCGGATTCGTATCGTGACGTCATATGACCTTTAAAAAAGGTAATTCCAACCGAGAATTGAATGCCTTAGAATCTCCCACGACCCCGATAAACGTTAAGTGAACGCTCATCGTTCACAGGACTAAATCCTTCGTTAGAAATCGAAGAGAGCAACTGAGGCCTTCGAGCTTCGTGGGAAGGTCCTGGGTCTCGGTGCTTCTGTCGCTAAGGATTTTTACTAGTTGATGTTCTTGGAACTAGATCAGTCGATGAGGTTTGCCGAAGCTCAACCGGGCCCGCTCGAGTCACGGTTAGGGGACGCTGCCATTTTAGAGTTTCGGAAACGTCGTGGAGAATCTGATCACGATCGAACCCCCTCGAACGAACCGATCCGAAACGGTTGGAAAAGGGAATGTTATTAAAGGGAATGTTCGTTTCTGGACTCGAAAGACGGTTCCAGGCTGTCTGAGAAGAGAAGCTTGTTTCTTGCATTTCGCATCACAGGGAGAAGAAGATTGGTTCCACCGAATTCTCCAGATGAGAAGGAAAAACTCCTCTAGAGAATCGAAAGAAAAAAACATCGGGCTCGTCCGGGAATTGAACCCGGGACCTCTCGCACCCTAAGCGAGAATCATACCCCTAGACCAACGAGCCGGCCATAGACGACACTTCACGTAGTTCCGAATATTTCAGTATACTGGAAGGAGCAGGCGACAGAATCAGTTCAGAAGAGAAGCACGTTTTCATGGATTTTTGTTTTTCTCACTGGCGGAAAAATCCACGCGGACCGATTTCGCTCTATTCGGCCTTCATGCATAAAAATTGATCGTGTTCGCTCGGGAGCGGCGAACCTCCCTCGTCCTGTGATCGGGCGAACGTGAATAGAGGAGGGATGGTGATTCGCGGATCCTGGAAGGGAAGCCTCCGCTGCTCTGGATGGCGCCGCGTTCCCCGCTCGAAGGGGGGGGTTGGGGGACTCGGGTCTCCCTGTCGAGAGCAATGGGGAGATGTAAGACCGAAAAAAATCTCCACGCGACAATATTTGGCCGAGCGCTAAACACGTCTGTCCTCCCGCCCTCCCTCTTCAAGGCGCATTTTCGAACCCGGAAGCTCTGGCACGGCAAAGATGCACATCCCCGACTGGGGAACACGGGCATCGTTCATATTTTCTCGCATCACTCTAGTTGAAAGACCACAAATGAAAAATTTGATTCCCTGGCGATGTTGCTCTGGTCATGTTCGTCAATCAAAGGAATGTTTTCGTACTCTGGACATGTTTGTTCTCGGCATGAGGAAGCTGTGCTTCCTGTTCTTGCAATATTTGTGAGGAATTGTTATTTTGGACGTGTCTTCTATCGTTTAGCCGGGGAACTCCCATGACCTTTTCTCGATGATCCCGTCCGTCACAGGTAATTTAAGGGGAATTTCGTGTAGAGCGCGATCGACTCGACACGAGCGTTCGCACTTTCGAGGCTGCTTCTTGATTTCGACGGTTCCACTCGGGGTCATACCAGCATCGCAATTTTCGCTGCTTGTGATGCCAGCTAAGTTTGAGAAACATTCCGAAACCTGTTTCGCATGGTTCCGTGAGGATTAAGCCTCAGCTTAATCCTCATGGATTGCTTGATCTGGCGGGACAGTGAATCGTCTTGAAAAATATAGATTCCTGTACGTGTGTGCGATTTATTTGCATAGTTTTTAGTTCGGTTGCTTGATTGTTCGGTAACTCATTTGCACTGCAAACTAATCTGCTCTTGCTGATTGCTTATATTGATTACTTAAGTGCCCGTTGACTCCAAGCAGACAGGGGAATAAGGGCAGCTGCAAGGGTTAATGTCTTCTGTTTTTTTTTTTTATTATCATTGGAACTGGAGTTTCTTTTCCACCGTGCACGCTTGTTTGAGAATGAATTTCGTTTGCAAGGGCAAAATTGCGGGTGCGATTTTTATCATCAGCCTATTCATTTCTGAATGCTAGACGCAATTGACATGCCGGATTCAGCCGGATTGCCCTATGCTTGGCCTAAAAAGTCCTGCCAAACGACCGATATGACGACTACATGACGACGATGAGCATACCCATTTAATGGGACTGCTCGTGCGGAGGCAAAAGGTGTAAAAGGAAGAAAGCCCAGACAGGCTTTTCGAAAAATGTGGCATTTTATTTTGCTGCTGCATTTTCCCTTACGCGAACAGGAGGTCGGTCCTACCTCATCCGACTTTCCCAGGCGACTGCGCAGAGAATCGCATAAACTGATGCCCGTCTGCGAAAAGGAAGACGGAAAAAAAACGTCGGGCTCGTCCGGGAATTGAACCCGGGACCTCTCGCACCCTAAGCGAGAATCATACCCGGATTCTAACTGCCGGCAATCAAAGGGAGATTGATGTCACTTCATCATTTTTCCAGGGCGACGATTACTTGCAGAGGCGCGATAGGTTTCCTCCACCCCCCTCCAGTGTTCAGAGTGTGAATTTTTACGATTTCCAATAAGAGCAAACGAGGAAATGTTCAATTTGGAGGACGTGCATGTTCCCGTGGCTTTTATTGATAGTTTTGAGAACCAAGGAATCCTGGACGAATACGGCCAACGTCCTATTTCCATCCGTTCTTTCGAAAGCCCTTCGTCGACCCCTCGACTACGAATGCTTCGGTACTCGAGTCGTGATGATACAGTGCAGCATCTCTACGTCCTCTATCACCTGGGATGGTGGGCCGACAGATGGCCGTGGGGATGGAAGGCCGCGGGGATGGAGGGATTCGGTCGCGGCTGTTGAGACCGGCGGAGGGACCACGCGCGCAAGGCCAAAAGCCTCCATAGAAAGCGTGAAGCCAAGTCTGTCCTTCTCCTTTCCATCTACGAGGTCGAGAAAAAGCCACTCGCACCTCCACGCCAGTACCCCACTTTTCCCGCCAGGGCACTCGATGTTCATTGCGTCGCCTATCGTGATCGAGGTGACGACTTCGTCGTACTGCTTGCGCAGGTGCATACGCGTAAAGAAGTCGCCGAACCCGGGTTGGGACAGATGCCGACTGCTCTTTGAGCAAGGGGATTGCTTAGAGAGAATATTCCATTTCGGTTGTAAAAATCCCTATGTTCACGGACCATGGTTACCAGAAAATAGACGCTTTTGGCTGTTTTCCCGACTTCGCCTCATACGATAAGGAGGTCGGTTCCACCAAGTCCGAATTCTCTTTAAGGACCGTGCAGAAGAAGGCAAGCTTTCGTTTAGGTAACCTTTCACCTAATACGAGATGACGGTAGAATCCTCTTCCAAATATTCCTAGAAACGTGGAGAATTGCTGAACCTCTTTAGAGATCTTTAAAGTTCATGTATTAATACATACCCATATACATGAATTTTGATTGACTGAGATCAGATCTGTACGTACATTCAACACCTAGTTTACAATCATATTAAAAAATGATAGTAAACTAGATAGATGATAAAACTTATCACATTCATATATATCATTATCATTCAGGCCTGAATGGGTTAAACCCGTGTCCGTCAGACGTAACGAAAAGAGAAACATCGGGCTCGTCCGGGAATCGAACCCTGGACCTCTCGCACCGTACGGACGTGGGATGGCCGGACGTGGAATTCACACGACCCATCCGTAAT